GAGAGAGAGAGAGAGAGAGAGAGAATAATGCTGGTATATGTGAAAATAATTATCATAATTTCCGTAGGTTTGCAAATATCAATATATATTGGATTTATATATGTAATATAAAGAATAATGAATGGAATGAGAATTCTTTAATTACTGAAGACCATTGAGTCCATTATAACGAACATACCGACCCATTAAGTTTAAGTCACGACTCACCAACATCTAAGATCTAACATAAACATTGTTTTTAAAACCAAATTACCAAATACATTGTTTAGTTTTTTTAGGCCAGATTATTTAGTTTTGGCTTGGACAATTGAACTTTTATTTTTCTTGTATTACAAATTTAGAATGTTATTGAAGCTTAGATGCCAAAATGACTTATTGTAAATTATGCAATTGGATATAATATCAATATAAAATATAATAATAATAATGTATTATATAATGTGTGTATATAATATTTTGTACAAATAAAATAAAACGGGACAAACAGGATAGTTCAGGACAAAAATATTTATAACTAATAACGACATTGTTAAAAACGATTCAATACATGGAACAAGACAAAAATCAAGAAAACCTTTCGAAAACTCATTTTTCGAAACGGGGCCAGTTCAGTTCGATTCGATACGAGAAAATTCGATTTTTTCCGTCCCGATATGGGAAAATTCGATTTTTTCCCACCCCTATTAAATGTCGTCCCCATTGTTATAAAATACGGGGAATATAAAGAACACAATGTATAAAAACCGAATATCAATTGTACTGAAATATCTTTCCTTCTTCACTACTTTTTTCGTACATAAATTGTAAGAAACACTTGCCTTTTATAGGCACATTTTGGGCACACAATTCAATGCAACACACACACTAATAATATAATAATTACAATGATAATGTTTAATAGTGGTAAGATTCCACTTATGTATAACACTCCCCCTTGGAATTACCACTATAAAATGTGCGTTTATGCTGCCTCGTTACCTTATCAGGAAATACCCTGTGGAAAAAAAACCGAGACAAGGAAAAAAGAGTACAGCCGCACATACTCCCCCTCGAGTTATCATCCGTGCAAATCCCGAAGATGTCTCATTCCAATATTGTGCACGTGCTTTCGAAATATTGTCGTCGGAAGCGCCTTCGTAAACAAATCTGCTGCATTATCGCTTGATCGGATGTATTGAACTTTGATTTGTTTGTTTCTTTCAAGCTCTTGCGCATATAAGAATAACTTTGGCGGGATATGTTTAGTTCTGTCATTCTTGATGTATCCTTCTTTTGTTTGAGCGACACATGCTGCATTGTCTTCGAATATCACCGTCGGGTCATTATTATTTGATAGTCCACTGGCTTGTTGAATGTGTTGAGTCATGTTTCTGAGCCAGATGCATTCTCTAGTTGCTTCATGTAATGCAATGACCTCGGCATTGGTTTGAAGACGTCGCAACTAATGTTTGTTTCTGGGAACGCCAAGAAAATGCAGTTTCGCCAATCGTAAAGACGTATCCAGTTTGAGATCTTGCTTTATGGGGATCTGAGAGATATCCTGCATCTGCAAAACCGATTATTTCATGTTTTCTATTGTTAGAATAAACCAGTCCCAAATCGATTGTCCCTTGGAGATAACGGAATATATGCTTAATTCCATTCCAATGTCTCCTCGTAGGTGCCGAGTTATATCTTGCTAATAAATTGGTAGCGAAAGATATATCTGGTCTAGTGCAATTAGCAAGATACATAAGAGCTCCTATAGCACTCATATATGGTATTTCAGGACCAAGTATCTC